TTTTGAATTTCACAAAAAGATGGCAAGCGATACGGGGAAGTCTGACATACTAAAATGGGCTAACGAGAAAGGAGAATTTATCAGAAAACCCAGTTCATTCCGGAACTGGATTACAGCTGATGGTAGCTCAGGATTCAAAGCAGAAGCTGGTCGATATCACCTCTATGTCTCGCTCGCTTGCCCCTCATCGTACGCCAGTTGAAAGGTCTGGAAGATGTCATAACGTTCAACGTAGTGGATTACCATATGGGGCCCAATGGTTGGAGGTTTAATCCAGCTGTCGAGGGAGCCACTCCTGATACTGTCAACGGTTTCTCTATGATAAGGGAGGTCTATTTCAAAGTTGATCCTGATTACACTGGTCGGTTCACAGTCCCAGTTCTTTATGATAAGGTCAATGGTACTATTGTTAATAACGAGTCATCCGAGATAATTCGTATGTTAAATACGGAATTTAATGAGTTCTGTGCTACTCCTGAAGCTAAAGCTCTTGATCTCTATCCTACTGATCTGAGAGACACCATCAATGAACTCAATGAATGGATTTACCCGTAAGTAATTAATGTACAGTTCTTCTATTGCATACCTGCATCTATTCTTGTATTTGAGCTGATTCCGAATTCTCAAATTTGGATTTTTTACAAAATTTTAAAGTTATTCAAAAATATTTTTTCAAGAATAAAAAGGAGAGAATTTTCCTTTTTTCTCATACATATACATGATGTATAAATTTTGAGCTTATTCTGATCAAATTTGATTTTTTTAATGAATTTTTAAAGTTACAAAAAATTAGGCCGAAAAGTATAGTGCAGGGTTATTAGCCAAATTTTGTCAAAAATAACTAGGGGAGAACTTTCTATTTTTATAATTTTTCTGATACATACACATGTTCCTATGTTATGTATCGATTTTGAGTTCATTTTGATCAAAATTAGATTTTTTATGAATTTTTAAATTACACAAAATGTACATATTCTTGTCAGGCTTAACTCAGTTAGCATTTTTTGTGGGAAACCCTCATTAGGTGAATGGGTTTCTTGCATAAAGCGCTTATTAGGTTGACCTTTTAAACTCATTATCACCTATTTTCATATATTTGTTCCTTTCATTAGTATCTGTTACAAAAATCTTTGTTTTTAAATGTTATTTTCATGCTTACAGCATTTACTCTTGTTTATACTATTGAATCAGTACAGTTGCTACAGTGGACTATTATCATAGCAGAAGTTACTATAACCAAGAGTGGCTATAACAGAATCTTTCTTTATATAGAGGCATTAACAATGGAGTCTACAGAGCAGGGTTTGCTACAGCTCAAGATGCCTATGATAAAGCAGTGAGGGAAGTATTTGAGTCCCTGGATCGTGTTGAGGGTATCCTCTCAACAAAACGTTACTTAACTGGGCCTAGTATAACTGAAGCTGATGTTAGACTCTATACCACATTAGTGAGGTTTGATCCAGTTTATGTGGGGCACTTTAAAGTAAGGGAATATTATAATACAATTGGTTTATAGCTTATTGTAACTACATGTACATGTATATGTACATGCATGCATGAAAAGTAATGCATTATGGTGGAAGAATTCATTGATACTAAAATATTTACGTATTTACTATTTGAAAAGGTGCCAAAAATATTGGCATATTTTAGCATGAATTGTTTTTGGCTGTCAAGATAAAATCTATTTTATTCTGAGCATGCTGATTGGCACAAGGCTGCTAATAAATCTGCCAATTCTTTTTCCTGTCAATATTTCCTGCTAGATAATAATTACATGTATCAAATTATATTGAAGCAAACTACCATACAAGATAATTTATAGGCAGGAGTAATATTTGGTGAATTTGCCTGTGGAATGAAATTGATGAATTTTATATTGGAGAATTTGTGCCATGTGCCATTGAGCATGCTCAGATTGAAACGAAATGGCGGATTTATATTGGCAATTTTTTCATAGAACCCCACCAATCGCTAATATTAATTCCCTACCAATAAATCATTTTGTACGGTATTATTTATTTTATTTAATATTTCGTTCATTTTCTTCTAGTGTAATAAAAAGAGGATTGTTGATTATCCCAATATTTGGGGCTACTTGAGGGACCTGTACAACACTCCTGGGTTTGGCAGTACCACCAATAGGTATCATATTGAGCACCACTATCAAGTAAGAGCACACCATTTGTCTGTAATTATATCTACATTGTATTACACAAAGTTTTTGATGGTTATAGATTTTGTGGATTTTGTGATTTGTTAAAGCTAGTTCACAAAAATACCCTGTACTATAGCCCATAGTTTTTTTCCAAAAAATGGCCCCGAAATTGTCCCCAATTTTTATTACATGTTCTGATACATATTGACATCCTTATGCTGTGTAGAAAGTTTGAGCTGATTTTGACTTAAAATTTTTAAGTTACGGCCATTTTAAGAAAACGTCAAAATTCTGAAAAATACACAAGGCTATATATAGCCCATGGTTTTTTCCAAAAACGGCCCTGAAATTATCTCCATTTTTAATTACATTTTCTGATACATATTGACGTCCTTATGCTGTATAGAAAGTTTGAGCTGATTTTGACTGAAATTTTTCAAGTTACGGCCATTTTAAGAAAATGCCAAAATTCTGAAAAATACCCAAGGCCCTTGGTTTTTTCCAAAAAATGGCACCGAAATTATCTCCATTTTTTATTACATTTTCTGATACATATTGACGTCCTTATGCTGTATAGAAAGTTTGAGGTGATTCCGACTTCATTTTTTCAAGTTACGGCCATTTAAAAAAATGAGCTAAAACATGAAAAATATCCAAGGCTATAGCCCATGGTTTTTCCCAAGAAATGGCTCCAAAATCACCCCAAATTTTTATTACATTTTCGGATACATATTGATGTACTTATGCTGTGTAGCAAGTTTGAGGTGATTCTGACTTGCATTTTTCAAGTTACGGCCATTTTAAGAAAACGTCAAAATTCTGAAAAATACCCAAGGCTATAGCCCATGGTTTTTCCCAAGAAATGGCTCCAAAATCACCCCAAATTTTTATTACATTTTCTGATACATATTGACATTCTTATCCTGTGTAGAAAGTTTAAGCTGATTCCGACTTCAATTTTTAAAGTTACAGCCATTTTAAGAAAACGTCAAAATTCTGACAAATACCTAAGGCTCTATCTAGCCCATGGTTTTCCCAAAAAATAGCCCTGAAATTGTCCGCAATTTTTTATTTTACATGTATTTTCTGATGCGTATTGATGTCCTTATGCTGTGAGAAAGTTTGAGCCAATTCTGACTGAAACTTTTTGGTTTACCTTAGAGTGACTTTTAATTGCGGGTACTAAATTTTGCGATTTTAGCACAAGGTAGATTTTGCTGGTATTAAAAATTGCGATTAAGTAATTATTACTAATAGTTATATGGCCTCATGATGTCATTATTAATAATTGCGCATATTAATAATTGCAATTTTAACCCAAATGCAAAATTCGCAATTAATAGTACCCGCATTTAAAAGTAACCTTAAGGTATTTCCATTTAAAAAGATCAATCATTTTTAATTGAGTACAAGATGGCAGACAATACAATGTGTTCATTCATGAAAATTAGATCCTCAAAAGCCCTGAATAATAATTTTGTATATGCACTTGTTTATTTTAAATTCACTTACATGTAGCTATTGCTTTTAAATTTTTTTCTCTGTCTTTATATTCCTAATTCTTTTCATTTGTTTTTTTCCAGGAGAGTCACCTCCAGATTAATCCTCATGCTATAGTGGCCATTGGACCTGACATTGACTACACCACACCTCATGATCGTGCCACAAAGTTCAATTGAGCTGATCCATCAAACTATATAGAGCATTCTTAAAGTAGTAGGCTTTATTCAAACTAACTTGTGTAGTTTTAGTAGTTTTTTTTCAGTTTTTTCATGATAGAGTTTAAGGGAATATTTATGAGCCTATACCTGCGTAAAAATGGCCACTCTGTTTTTTTAATATTTTTATGATGTAATATCTATGATAATAATTTGAATTGCAGCGATATAGTTAAACAATAATTGCTAAGTTTTATTGACTAGAGAAGGTTCCATTACAAGCTGCATAAGCTAGTGCATAATTGAAACACTGACCATCATGAAGTTTCTATATAAAAGAAAGAAGCAGTCATCACTCATTATAATTGATGTAACACAATACACTCACCAGTACATTAGCACAGACCCTCATGCAGGAATTAAGATAAGTATTACCATCAATCCCACACTCATAGCTGACAGTATTATCACAATCACAAGGAGTACGACACAAACCATAAAGATGAAAACTAGCTCCTTGAATTGGTAGCTGTTTAGCTACACTAGCAGCAAAATCAGGAACACAAACTTGGGTATGATGACACCTGTCATTAATAGCGATACATTATGTACATTAGCCAGATATATTTTGATCAAACTTACCTAAAATCATTATTATTTCCAACAATACACCTCTCATTACTACTAATGTATGGTAAACAATATTGAGTGTCTGTTGTCTCAAGACTAAGAGAGCTGTCACCATCAAATGCATCATCATGTAACTGCTTGACATTGTCATACTGGAAAGCACCAGATCCAATGAAGAGGTTTCTGATGGATCCTTTGAATTGAAATCTTTTAGTACCTGGTCTGCCACCCACATAAAGAATGTTATACTAGAATAGAAAAAGAGACATAATGCTTTTAAATTGCCATAGATCTAACTCAAAAAGTTATAGTCAGAATCAGCTCAAACATTCTACACAGCATAAGGACATTAATATGTATCAGGAAATGTAATAAAAATTAGGGGTGATTTCGGAGCCATTTTTGGAATATGCATGGGTATGGCTACAGTACAGGGTAACTTTTAGGAATTCGCAAATTTTAAGCTCAAATTTTCTACATAATATGCATTGAAAATGTAGTAAAAAATGGACTGATTTCATAGCCACTACTAACTATTTACACTTCAAAAATTGCTCATTTTAACAAAATAATGGTGGAAAGAAGCTAGCTGGCAATAATGTATAGGATAATAGGACTACTTCTGCTCACTGCATTAATTTTACAATTAAAATTTAGAATAACATTACATCAGGTCTGAAGGCTGGTTTGACTGGCAATGGGCACTGGTATCCTCTCAATACTCCATCAATATAAAGAGATGCACTGCTAGCTGAACCATCAATGACTGCTGTCACTGAGTGCTCATTCCCATCAGCAACATTGACATCATAAAAGAATACAATATCATGGAATCCAACACCTTTATCATCAGATCCATATGCTACCCAAATTGTGCTTTTTGAGCTACGCAGATAAAGACCAAAGTCTCTCATTTTATCATTGAGACCTTTTCCAATCACATAGCCATCATTACCAGGCTCTTGAGTCACAATAGCAAATATAGTGAGGTCTGAGACAAGATCTGGGACTTTGTGAACTGGTAGGACATTTGTTCTGGTAATGCTCTCTTCAGAAAAGTGCATCAAATTCTCTTGTAGAAATACACTTTGGCCTGGTAATGATTTGTCTGAGTTTTGGTAATAGTTACTGTTATCATTAGGTATAGTACCACTGCTGCAGTAGTAGTTTGGTTGACATGTTGAGTCTGATGTACATACTAAAGGAATAGAGAAGACTGTTAATTTGTAATAATACATGTATCTATTGCTGTATAAGCAAAATCACTTCATACATGATAATACAATGGTACAATTTGAATGTCAATCACTATTGTAATAACAATGAGGTAATGGTTCTCTCCAGAATCATGCATGAAGTGACATTATAATACAACCTACCAACTGGTTGTGGCTGACAAGTATATCGATAGTCAACATCAGGCAAGCATCTGGCATTAGGGTTACACCTTTCAAAAGATAAAAATTAAAAAATTAATAAAAATATACTTACTTGCTTATTGATGATTGACAAAGAGCTGAAGGAGCTGCCGAAGGAGCTGGGCAAGTAGCTCCAATCTGTAGATAGTTAGTGCATACACCTGATAGATTGACTAGTGTATCATAATCATCCATTAGCTGTGATATGAATGTGCTGTTGAGTGCTTCTTTAAAGAAAACAACTTGGTGAATTGCTCCAATGAAATGAAAATAGTGAGGCAGACGAGCTCCAATGAATACTTTGGGAGAAGTAGAAGCAAACTGTATAGAGAAAAATTATAAATTAAATTGGTTGGTTTAGCAAATGATATATGTTCATCACAACTAATTAATTTAATTCACATTAATATTATTATTATATTGTTTTTGTTGTGACTTACTCCATAACTAAAGTTAGGATTCACTAGTGTCTGTACACCATCAGCTAATAGCAAACCATCAAAAAAGAAATTAGTAATTTTAGTTGCTTGATTATATGTCAGAACCAGCTGATGGACCTCATTACTGCTCCAGGAGAATGATAAACTAAAGTTTCTTGAGACACCAGACATGTCTGTGTAATAGAACCAAAGCTTTGAACTGTTATGGTCAAGGAAAATAGCGAAGTTTCTTGAAATACCAGAGGTTCCATAAAAGAAAAGGTAACCACGATTAGAAGCATTCTGACTAAAGACAGCATAAAGAGAAAAATCATCATTAAATGATGGGAATTTTGACTGCTGTACATTTATAAAAGAATTCCCACTTAGATCAACAGGCTCAGTTATCAGTGAAGAATGCTTTGGGTAGTCATCTGAACTACATTGATAATAACAATAGGTTGAACTAGGGCAATCATCATCACTGCTACATGACATATTGTTAGGAAGTGTTTCATTGCAATCTGAGCCAGAGAAATTCTCAGCACAATTACAAGTGTATGATGAACTCTTATTATCAGGAATACACTGACCCTCATTTTGACATGGATTTAGATAACACAGTCCAACAGGACAAGAGCAGGTATAATTTAATCCAGGTCCATCTAAACATGTACATTCATTAGGACAAGGACTGATTGGTGAACATACATTAATATCCGATTCACATTTTAGTCCACTGTATCCAGGAGGACAAGAACAATTGATTGTATTATTAATGACAGTACATATACCATCATTAAAGCATGATGTACCATCCTCACATGTAACATTTTCACATGTATCACCTGTAAAACCAACAGGACATGTACAGGTACTATTATTCAGATCAACTATACTGCAGTTGCCACCATTGTGACAAGGATTAGGTGAGCAGGCATCAAATATATCTGAGCAGTTATGGCCATAATAACCAGAAGGACAGGAACAATCATATCCATTGATCCTGTCAGTACAAGTCCCATTATTGTGACAAGGATTAGGATCACACTCATCAATATCAGTGCTACAACTAGCATCAGTGTATCCAGGATGACATACACAAGTGTGAGTACCATTACCATCAATGCAGTACATGTAATTCTTAGACATACAAGGATTTGGGCAGCAGGAGCTTATTTCAATGTCACAGTCTGTTCCAGTCCAATCATAGAAGCAACTGCAAGTGTATCCAGCCACAGCATCAGTGCATATACCATTAACACAAGGATTAGGATGACAGTCATTGATATTAATGGAACAGTGGTCTCCAGTGTAGCCAGACTGACACTCACATGTGTAACCAATGGCTGGTGTATTGATACAGGCTCCATTACCACAATCAGCTCCTTCACAATGATCAATCTCTGCATTACATGTGTCTCCAGTGTATCCTGGCTCACAACTGCATGTAAATAGGTTGGGTGGTATGTACGTGCAATTGCCATTAGCACAAGGTGAGCTATAACAGGGATCAAATTCATATGCTGTATTGCAGTCTGGTCCAGTGAATCCAGGATGACATACACAAACTCCATTAGAACAGGCACCATTTGGATTACAGTTAATGTCAGCACATGGATCTATACTTCAAAAAGTAATTATTTTATAGTAACATATAGTATGACTTACCAACAATTTCTATATTAACTGGATAAACAACAAGCCTGAATGGTGGAACTAAAACCATTCTGATAGTAGTACTGTAGCTGCCATATGTTAGTTCCTCATCATCATCAATTGCACGTCCAGCATTAATTTCCTTAGTAATATTACTTGTTGGTGGGTATAGAACTGTACTAAAAGCTGATTCTGAAGGTCCGCTAAATATAATGATTTGAGTTTCACGAAAACCTGCAATTGTTCCAGTAGTTCCCTCTTCAATGAAAATTGTAAAAGAGAATAAGTATGTTCCTGGAGTCACAGTGCTATTTGAAGTTTTGTATGTAATATTGTAGCAAGTTCTGTCAAGTTGAAAAACATAACCAACACCCACTATAAAAATAGTTAATATCATTTAAAATGCTAGATCCACTTACATGATTCACATTCTCCTGTTGTACAATTGTAAAACATTCCTCCATCACAATCTTAGTGTTTAGAAGATTAAACTTGTACATAGAAAAGTAACTTACATTGAGCATCAATTAAGCATGAACATGACAGCAAAAGCAATAAACCAGAAGGAACTAAAACAAATTTAAACCAGACCATGTTGATCTATAAACAGTACATAATTATTGGTCAATTAGAAATATTTAGTCAATGTTTACATGTTGCTCAAGCAATATGTAACAGCCAAAGGGTGGATCCCTGTAGTTTGTTTACGCTGGTGTTGTCATAGAGAATATAGTTGTTGTTTATATTCATAATGTAACTTGATCTCCATCTATAATATGAATAAACTGGAGTCCTGTACCAGTTAAATAAGTGGAGTGAACTAATTCTGCTGGAAAACTAGAGTAAAACTATATCTAATAACTTAACAAGCTTGTATAAAAGGTAAATTATTGGGTGAAGAAAAAATCAATATTGTTTGCTAACTTCTAATTTACAAAATTTAAATGCTTTATAACAGTTACACATATGATGACATTGATACATACTTTAGCCTTGCAAGAGTGAAAGAAACTGCATTGATGCAGAGATCAATTTTAGCAGGAAAAAAATTAATTGATTGGGCGTGGTCATGTATCAATCTATTTGGGCGGAGTTTATGGAATTGTTATGAAAAGATGTCAACTGCGCTGCTTCGTTCCTTTTTCCTCTTTCTTCTTCTATTTCACTTCTCTCTCTCCCTAGAGATACAAGTACCCACTAAACCATCACTTACACTAACACCATTCCTTATCCAACAGGTTTTTAACGGGACAGAACTTCTCCGTACGTACGAAGACTCCTCTGCCTACAGTGATAGTCGTTCTACTTTGATATACAAACAAGAGGCTCTCCTTTATTATCCTGTCCCTCGTAATGCTTGTTCTACGATAGAGAACGACCCAATGAACGAGTCTGATGATAATTATTATGTAGCTTATGTGCCTGACTATGATGCTTGTCCAGGGACTAATGTAAGATCATTGTTGTGTCTGTTAATAGTTATTCTATTAGTGTATTTACAAGTAATAACAATCGTAGACATAATTGTGTACTGTAGTGTTGAAACTATGGTATACATGTATATGCATGTACACGTAGTAGCGAAATTAGTACTGTGCATATACATGTAGTGAAGTTGTACATGTACATGTATTGTATACATGTGTTTATGTTGTGTAGATAGTTTGAGTTAATTCCGATTAACATTGGGTTTTTTATGAAGTTTTAAAGTTACATAAAAATTGGGCCGACGACAGCCTTTGGTCTTTGGTCGAAATTCGTCAAAAATGATTCAGTGAGAATTCTGTTTTTTGATAATTTTTCTGAAACATGTACATGCACATGTACATTAATTTACATGTACATACATGTAACTTTCTACTTTTCTAGCTTCAAGGAAGCTTTCTTGGCCTCCTTATGGCTTTGGGAATAACCTTAATCAGCCTTCTATTTATTAACATACTTTGGTTGATTTGCCTTTACATTTTAATAGGAAATACATGTAGCTTGTAAGAATCATGTTTAATGGCTTGCAATGTACATGTAATTACAATAGTTTAATGTGAATATAGCATCAGTGATAGTTGTAAATAAAATAGTAAAATACACAAGAACCAGGAGTGAACATCCACCCATATTATAACAATTGAATATTGTCTACATACATGTACATTACATTATATGATAATTTTTATTGTCAGATTACAATTGTTATTTTATTGCTTATTTTTGTTTCCTTCAGATTCGTATGGTACAGGATTCAGCCTCCTTCAGTATCATGTTGACCTATTCCCCAAGCGGTGCCACACTCTCTGATAGGGACTTTGTTACTGTTATAATTGATGACGTAATAACATTAATAGTATAGTATTTCTAGTAATGTATAGTAAGATAAGCATTTGTAACACATGTAGTAATATTAGTAAGCATTCATGATTTGTGAACTGAAGTCTATTACAACTTGGTTTTTTTAGCTTACTCTCTCCTTTACTATCTTGTCTATGCCCCTCCTTTTCTTCCTCTCTCTCCCTCTTCCCCCCTCTCTCTCTTCCTCTTTTTAGAAATCTTTTGCTGACTATCTTGAAAATTTACTTGACTCCAGGTAACTGATGATAAAATTGCTATAGCATTTAAATTGTATCGTTGATGTTTTTTTTAATTATTAATTTGTTAAATTCTAAATTTGTTACTTGGCAATCACATTTAATTGTTATTGATTAATTTAAATCTGTTATTTTTGTCACTTTCATTGTATATTTATTACTATTATAGTCCTCCTGGTTCCATTTCACTTATCTTTACTGAGGACCTTTGGGGTTTGTATGAGAAGATTATCCTAATAATGTGTATGGTCCTAATGTGTGCCATATCACTTGCCATTTGTATCTTCCTATGTACATATTGTGTAAGTTTATGACATGTACATGTACATGCTATATCACCTTTCCCCCCTCTCTCCCTTTCTCTCTTCCAATCACTCTCTGCTTTCCTATGCTTATATTAGTTACATACAAGTAATAGAAAGTATATGTACATGTACATGTAGGTACAAGATAAGCTCATGCTTTTGTCTTTTTTGTGTGACATACATGTACATGTACATGTATATGTTTCATGTATAAATATACATGTACATGTACAAATATACATGTACATGTACTTTGTGTGTTTCCCTAATTTTGTCTTTGATTTTTTGGAAATTGAAAATAACTAAACTTTTACCAAACAAAAGAAACCCACTAGACAGTACTCTAAATTAAGCACAAATGGTACCCCATATACATGTACATTTACTTGTATATGTACATTTACTTATTGGAATTAAAATACTAATGTCCAAATGTACTTGTCTCTAACTCTGAAAGCCCTCCACTTCATTTTATTTCTCTTTTCTCTCCAGACGAGATGGAGTTGGTATAAATGGCGTCAGAGAGGACTGACCAGGTGGCGTATCAGACAGTTGCCACAGCGACGCTACAAACCTGACAAAGAGACTACACAAACCTGTCCAATATGTCTTGAGGACTTCAAAGAAGGAGAGAAACTAAGAGTATTACCCTGTGACCACAGTAAGTACATACATGTACATGTACTGTACGTTATAATGACCTTTAAGTTTAATACATGTACATGTACATACTCAGGGTTTTCCACAAGGCATACTAAGTGAGCTAAATAGCATTATTCATGAGCTGACAACCACTACAATACAGTATGTGGTGTTTAGAGCAACTTTAAAAATTCATTAAAAATCCAAATTTGATTGGAATCAACTCAAAGTTGATGCACAGCATAAGAACTTGTATGTGCATCAGAAAAAATTACAAAAATGGAAAATTCTCTCCTAGCCAATTTTGGCAAAATTTGGCCAACAACCAAAGGCTATAACCTTTAGTTGTTGGCCAAATTTTGCCTTGGGTCGTTGGCCCAATTTTTGAGCAACTTTAAAAATTCATAAAAAGCCCAAATTTGATCAGAATCAGCTCAAAGTTGATACACGACATAAGAACATGTATGTGCATCTGAAAAAATTATAAAAATGGGAAATTTTTCCTTTTCATTTTTGCCGAAATACATGTACCCTGTACTATAGTACAGGGTTGGTGGCCCAAATTTTTGAGCAGCTTGACAATCCATTTGACAACTACATGTACATGTATAACAAAATTCTCTGGAAAACCCAATGCATAGTATAATGATGACCTTTATGTATGTACTGTAAGTATGAGGACATACATGTACTTAATAAAGCCTTAAAGCATGTGTTATGTAGTGTGTGAACCTTTTTGTTTTCTGCTGTACATGTACATGTATAATTTGCACAGACTAATAATTACTATTTTTTCTATTCCACTTTGTAGTATTTCATCCACCATGTGTTGATGAATGGCTACAGAAATGGCAGAGAGTCTGTCCACTTTGCAAGTCCCTGATATCAAGGAGGAGGGAGAGGAGGAGAGAAAGGTCACCTTTACTTCAGAATGAAGGAGGAGGAGGGGAAGAAGAACCAAGTACTAGTGGTAGAAGAGGTACTTATGGATCTATTGGTGGAGATGATCCTCCTGAAGCTGAAGTGTCTCAAGAAAGAGAGAGAGAGAGGGGGGAAGAGAATGAGCTAAATACTTAATGGAGTTTATTAATTCACTTTCTGTATCATAAATGATAATGACTTATTATTATTATTGTTATTATTATTATTATTATGCTCACTTTTGTTTGTTATTTTTATTGCAAGCTCAAATCTGAACTATCTTCTCCGAGCAATTATTTCTGTCATTATTTAGTTATTATTTTATTATTCTACTATTGTTATTAATTTTGGCTTGTAAAACTACTAAAAAGTAATTACACCGTTTTTGGCCAAAATTTGCCAAATCAAAAAGGTAAAAATTTTCAACCTCTTATTTTTGATACATATTGATGTCTTTATGCTATGTAGAAAGCTTGAGCTGTTTCCAGCAAATATTTTTGAGCTATATATATTATATAGTAAACTATAGTATAGGTCCTATATATATGCAGAATATAGAACCTAAGGTTCGTGTCCAAGGATGTGTTACAGCCCTTGGGGTGTATCACATCCAAAAAATGCTTTATTTATTTATGCATGATTATAATGTATAGTTGTTGTAAACATTTTACATAATTATGTTCCATAATACAACACTACCTCAAAATTAAAAAAAATACTGTTTTTACTAATAGCAAAGGATTAACAATAGCACTTAAAAAAGTAAACTCAGCAGCTGCAACATTCCAAATGAATGCTGAAAGTACAATAGAAAAAGAGTATAATACTAGACCTATGCTGTATATAGTCTACGTCTATGATAAATTTCTACTATAATAGTTCTGACTAGCTACAGGATATCTCTAATTCTACAAGTCACTAAAGTGCAAAGGAGACCTGTCTCTGTGATGTCGAATAGCTTGAGGTTCTCCTTCTCCACCTACTTCCTCTGTCTTTTGTTATTAAAGACAGCAGCTCCTTGTCAGGTCTGTATTCTTCCTTGTCTTGACTCTCATTTTTACTGTCACCATGCTATATTGAAGAAAAAGAATAAAATGCACACATGAACTATATAGTACTTCATAATGAGGTAAAGATTTAGCTTTGTACAACGGGAAAAACTTAATAGAATTTTTACCTTCATTGACCTGATATAATTATAATGTAATTAATTTCTTGCAGAAGCGTATATTGTGTGTACCTGATCAAAAACATACTTCTCCAGAGCATTGTGAGAATTTTCAGGAAGAGATTTTACATGTATAATGAAACGCATATAATCCCACAAGTTATGTTCTTTTGTGACATGTTTCTTAAAATCCTTTTATAACGAAAATTTTAAATGATACTGATCTCATTGGAACCAACTTTGTCAAACATGCTTCTTTCAATACTGCAGATGAAACACCTACTTTCATTATCTTCTTCAACTTTATCCTAAATAATAATTATGATTAGATATAATAAGACATTAAAAAAATTTACTGATTTTTCTCTCATTTCAGAAAATCTATCCACAAGTATAGCAATGATGATGTTAAGACCAAGAGTTGTGACAACAATAAAGAATACAAGATCATAGAATGTTCGAAAACCATAAAGTGTAAAGTTAGGCTCGTAGTCATTATTTGGACGGATTTCAAGTTCCTATAGTAAAAATGTTAGGATACAGTCAGAGTGACATAACTTACAGATCCTAAGGTACTCAGTAGTCCCAAACGTGACACAGTGAAAAAACACTGTACCAAACTGCCACAGAACTGATCCTTGTCTTTAGAAAAGTAATTATTCAACAAAGCAAAACTGACGACAGCATAAATATAAATAAAAACAAAGCAGAGCAAGAAGACTGACGCCAGCTGCTTGACTATTATGAAACAAAATTTTGAAAGACTTTTTAATACATGATAATTTAAATCTTACTGCTTCTTTTTATAGCTCTTGAAATATACGCCACAACATCAAACTTTAAAAATGGATAGAGCATACACAGACAGTACATATACTTTAGCCCTGGAACAGGAATCCAAGCTACTAATGAACAGACCATAAAAAAGATACGGTAGATCGACTGAAAACTACTCCAAGAAATTTGATAATACTCATTAGCAAGAGTATTCTTGTCATTAGCTACGGACTGCTGTGGCTTTTGCAAATACAGTTTGAAAGAGCCTAAACAAAGTCGATAAGTTATATTCTTGCCTAAAATTATCTTTGAGAGGCTGAAACTAAAAATGTACAGTGATAAGAAGTACATTGTATTCTAAACTTACAATATTTTTTTGCATGACAAATGCTCCCTGTATTAAAGCATAATACCAATAACAACATAAAATATAGCTATGTACTTGAGTTCCATTAATGGTGAGAAAGATCCCCAATTGCCAGCAAAGTATTCAATTACCATCATTACTGCCAACGCAGCATGTACAAATCCAAGAATTTCCAGAACTGTTGTAGATCCTAATGATATTTGAGGTGACAAGATGGGCTGGAAATGACTGGTACTGGAACATGTTTCATTATCTGTGCTATTGGTTGTGCAGACTCCATTAGCCATATTGTAGCTTGTTTAGAAATAATAATAAATCAAATAAATTAAATTCTTCCTTACTCTAGTGGAGTATAGACTGTAAAAAGCACAATTAAGTTTAATAAAATTGTCAAGAATATTAATAACCACTGCCTAAAAATGAATAATTTAACTCATTATATTCATATTTAGTTTAGCATAATACAAACCTTAAACGTGACAATATAAGAAAAGGTATCTTATTTCTGAAAAATGTGAAAATATCCTGCAATGTAGCATAGCTTCAAGTTATACATACTTCATTTATAGCTTACTTTTTTACTTTGCATCTTCTCAACAGCATTTGTCCATTCAATAAAATCAAGTAGCTTTTCTTGAGGAGTGCTTCTTTTGATTTGTGACTGTATATAACTTTTGTCTTTAATCTATTACAAACTAAATAGTAGTAAAAACTGTCATATTGTCAGCTTACATGTATCTTAGGATCATAAGAAAAATATGCTTGAGTGACTGTATCATTTTTATAAGCAATTTCAACACTTCGAGACCTGTGTCGACAGTATTCCCACATTGCTTGATGAACTTTATCATCTTCTTTAACCTCAACTACAATATACAAGCAAGTAATTATATTTATAATACTAGACCTTACCTAGTTTTTCAGTACTTATTCCTTCATAATCTGCAATTCGTTTGAGGACATTATAGGCTCTACACAATAGTTCATAATTTGATATGTCCTGCAATGAACAATTTCATCTGCATTATACACATAGGTCTGCCAGCCTTACAAATAAATTAAGCATTTCTTGATACAACTTGTCCATTTCCAAATGATTTGCTATACACTTGGCTAAAGTACATGATTTTTCATCTATTTCCTCCAGCATTACTTCTAGCAATTCAATACATGAGGATTTTAATTTTCTTTTCTCCTGTTATTGCTCCGATTATAGATTTAAATTCAAATTTTATAATCTTACTTCATTATCAGAATGCATATTCAATTGGAGATTAATAGATACAATAACTTGGCCTTTAAAAGCAATATCTTGATTAATATAATCTCCAGTGCACATTTCTATTAATGCCTGAACAGTTTTTTGTGCTATATCAACTTTAGTATCATCCCAATGATTAGAAATGTAGAAAAATATAAATGAAACTTGACTAACAATATTGAAACCCTGAGATAAGAATGCTTAAAACAAGGTTAAGGGTATTATTAATAAAAACCTCATTTCTCATTGCAACTTGCATTTTTTCTTGTTGTCTGTCACACAACAAGGATATGACATTTAATGCAGCGGTAATATATTCATTTTCCTAAAATAGTAATAATATTGATACTCAACACTATAGGAAGACATTAACTTGCTTTGTTTTCATTTTCTTGCACTATGATTGCACATGCATCATGCGAAGCAGAACTATCAACATTATCAGCATTTTGTGTTGATACATCATCATTCAACTATAAAAGAATAACAAAATGATAATAAATTTCTATTATACCTTTTCTCTTTTCTGGATGAGAAACTGAGCTTCTCTTAATAATCGATGTACTTTCTCTATAAAAATACAATCATGTTCTGCACAAATTTTTATGATCTCATTCTGAACGTCTTTTGCATTAGCCAAAGAATTAAGACAGTGCAATAGTTGCATTACTGCAACAATAAATTTATTATTTTGATGTTGTATGAGGTCGAATAACTATAATATAAAGTAATGCTTAATAATTATTATAATAAACATGGTTGAGACTCACAGTATCATGTTCTTTTGCTCCATTAATGTTTAAATACAGTATAATTTTTGCAAGTTTTAACCCTCTACATAACAGTGCAGTTACATTATAAACTAGATTATAATAGCTTACTTAGTTCCCTCAGTATCATCACAAAGTTCACCCCATGGAACTGTGCCCTGCTTCATCTGTTCAATTAGTTTTTCTAGCAAATGTAATGTTCTTAATATCATTTGCTCTAATTGAATTCTTTTTAAACAAGGAACGCGCTTCAATTTTTGCAGAATGACTAAGTTCCTGTATTTAGTAAACATTTTACAATGCACTAAATTTAACTGAATGCTTACTTTAACATCGAGACAACATGGTAGAAACTGTAAATTAATTAAAATTGTAAGCATAAAATAGAATGAATATTCCTTACACTGGACATTTATTATACTGATTATTTTTCATTAGTCCAATTATCTCTTCATAATTTGGCTCAATTGGCTGCATGTGGGGTTCAATATCACTTAACAAGAGCTCATGTTTTGCATTATAGGTTTTCAGACATCTTATTTTATCAGTTAAGGTTGTTGACCATGAATCAGTCATTACCTAATCCATCTCAAATCATAAAAAATATGATAATATTTACCATCATTTCTAATAGCAAGTCAATCTTTTCTATGCATTCAAATTTTAATAGCTGCTCTGACACACACTCCCACTTATATGCATCTTTAAAATTCTATTTGGCTTAAATATTACAGCATAAAAAACTGTTTTGCATACCAATAAATGTGTTTTAATACTTTGAAGTTGGACTGCTGTACAACAATTACCGTTTCTTAACTGAAGTGACATCATACAAATTTGTGATAGAAAAGGTATTAGACCATAAGTGATGTAGCATAAATCAGAAAAATCCTTGGTCTCATTTTGCTTTTGAATGACATAGCTTGATCTATTGGTAACATTCATAGGAATAATACGATTTCTTTCTTTATGTAATTTTTCTATTGTGGACATCATATGAGTCAAAAGTTGCCTAAAAGTTTAAAATCAATTACAATAACAGCCTTTTGAAGTACCTATATAGAGTAAAACTTCTCCCATCTAAGTAGGTCCAAGTCAAAATACAAAGAAAAGGTATTTTTCTGTAACCTTTTATATTACGATTCAATACAATGCTGCCAGAAAATTAATCATAAAGTCTGAACAATTACTTTGTGCTTACTTAACAAGGTCATCAAAAGCAAATACTTGTGCAGCAATCAATCTGGCAAATTGGCATCCTTTACTTGTACATGATGCTAAGAGATCAGTTATATTTAGTAGAAGGTGATATTCATTTGAAAGCTTATCCTTTATAGAAATAAGCATAATAATATGCATGCATATGTATTATAACACTTACACATTGTAGAATGTTCAGCCAATTAACTTTTTCTTGTTCTTTTGCATATCCTAGAAAATCATTATAGTTTTCTAATATAAGCTGTGCAACATATTCCTGAACTACTCCGTGATCTGTATACTAAAATCAAGATACATGTAAATAACATATTATAGAATAATACGATACTTCAATTATGGTTTGAAGTACAATAGTCCACTGGTGATTTCCAATGACTATAGCAGTATTAAAAATTCTACCCAAGTCAGCTTCAGCAAGTTTATCACAAAGATAAGGATTATCATAAAATATCTGACAGTTCATTAGCTAATATAAAACCTATAAATTGCACTAACCTCATTAACCATGAGTATCATATGACTTGTCACTTTTTGAAACGAAGAAACTCATAAAAATGATTGAACAATTCTTTTTGAATCTAAATGATTTCATAAAAAAATGTCAAAGTAAGGAATAAAATTTACTTTACTGTTGTGTGCTGCGATTCTTTGTAACATTTCAAAACATTTGGGAAGTAATATACGTGTAGCTACTTCATCACTGTATTTAGAACAACTTTTGTGTTGCACACAGTATTCAAGGGTAATATGAAACAGACCTAATAAGAAATAAAAAATCATTGCCCATTATTAAAGTACAAGTACATGTACTTTTACCACAACTGAATGCTTCTTCTTGAAGAGATCCATTTGGTTTGTTATCTTTAGTCAAACGATGATTTATCATTTCATCTAAAAAACTTGAACATCTTTTTTCTGATGAACTATCCATTATTTTCGTTAGCATTTTTTTAAGTGTGGAATGCTCATCTGTCATCGTAGCATACAACCACATTTTTTTATCACATGTGTCTTCTTCGTCAATGTCAACCTTATCACATGTGTCTTCTTCATCAATGTCAACATTTGCCTTACTCATCTCTTCTTTTGTGTAAATGTCAAAAAGGAGGGATGCACTCATATAACTGATAGTATAATCTTTATTCGCAATTAACTGAGACAAGATTCTGCACAATTCCTGACTATTCTTTCCAAAAAGTTCCTCAAAAATGCTGTATAAATAATACAAAAATTTTTGACAATTACATGTAGCTATAAGTTTATACTCTAATATCTATGGTTAGGACTTACTCAATTCTAATTACACTCTAATGAATGCAAGACAAAATATAGAACACTAGACACATAACCCAAATATAGTAGGAAATTTTCCCACCTGCCCCCCTATCAGGGAGCCTGTGTAAAATCTAGTCTTGCTACCAGCCCCTCCCTCTATGAAGGAAGAAGGAAGGGGAAGGGCTGGCTATGTGAGACTATGTAATTATCTATGGACTATGTAAAATCAGCATAAGGACATGCTGACAAGATGTATTTGACAATATTCTGATTAATAAACAAGATACTGACAAAACAAATCTGTTTGTCACTAATGCAATCACAACTTTCTTTAATGCAAATACCAACTAAGGTTGGTTTGTTCTTAAAATGGGGCTGATTTTACTCAGACCCACTGAGAGGTGGTAGAAGGGGAAAAAGTTGTCCCCCAACTATATTGGGTCCCAAAAATCAGAACAGGCTTCAAAATGCATCATATTAAAATTATTGGGCAAAAATGCAGTTTTATGCCCACATTTTCACCTTTTCTATGACCCCCACTGCTCTCTCAGGTCACTGCAGTAGTGTTGATTTTACAAAGCTAGTATCAAAGGTCACATCAGCCACACATTGATTAAATAGTAAATGCATGCACATTGTTCTAAAATTTTTTAACGACTAACCTTGATTTAGCAGGTGCTTTTGTTTTGTCAGATTCATTGGGTGTGTGCTGCAGGTACTAAAAGTTTATAACTATAATAATGACAACTACATGTATGACCACTCACCTTGTACTTTATAAAAAGCAAAGTGAACCAATAAC